TTACTAGTTTTTCAATTAGGTCTGTAATTGGAAATGACTTGTGAGCCTTCGTTTCCACTTTCATGTCAATGAATTTCGTTTCTTAGGAATCAGGCAAACAAATACACTCAAGAAGAACTCATGTTGATGAAGACCCAAGACATAGGATATATACTTCAGAAATTACAGAGTGAAAAAATGGTTTGGAAAGTTTTATAATACCATCAACGGTTCTATAATTTTTTTCCTGCATGACTTTTTGATATTATTTAATTGTACTTATGGTTAACTTTCTATTTATTTTCTGCAGAGAGTTGAGAAGCTGACTGCAATGCTACATTCTCTTGATAATCATCCATCAAATGGATACATTTACTACACTGAAGACAGGTTTGCTTTTCCAAATTTCACCTTCATTTCTCATCTTTGTATTTTGGATATACTGAAAATGCCAAATTGTTGCTTCTAAAAGCTTCAGAGCATGTGTGTAGATTATCCTTCACATTTTTATTATTATTTTTGGGTTTTTTCAACATACCTTCCTTCTGCTGATTGAACTTTACATCAGAAAGATTTTTGAGATGAATACCAACGTTATTTCTATTGGTATTGCTATTACTGCTGCTGTTATGCTTCTACCACATTTGCATTTTACCCTTTCATGTAGTTTACTTATTAAACTCATTGCTGTGCTTCTGATGAGAACCTTAATTATTTAATATTTGAGATTTGATTATGACAACGGGATAGTAAGCATATTTTGTTTATGTACAATGGATTTTGTTTATTTATGCTTTGGTATTACTTAGTGATTGATATATTAAAGCTTTTGATGCCAGCTATTTATGTTTTAGGCTAAAATTAGTAAAAATTAGATATGTTCACTTTTGCACATAAGAATTTTTTTTTTCATTATGTCATATCCAAAGGTTTTGAGAAATGTTCTATCTCTTTATCCATCACATACCATATGGCTTCTTGTTTTTATATTTATGCTTATATCTGTGCATCTTTTTCTTTTACAATTCAAAGCCCCCTGTCTGTGCTTTAAATTTGAGCTCCCAATCTGCCTCTGGCCCTCTCCCTTCTCTCTTTGAATAGCCTTTAAGATTGACAGTGGTTTACTTTGCAGCAAGCAAGACTCTCTGTTTCCTGAAGACACATTGTGTTCTTTTCCTATACTTTTGCAGGGAGGAGGCTAAAGAAATATGATCACGGTCACCCCAGGGTAGCACTGCTCATACTTTCGAGGATTTCCCAGACAATCTTAAAAGGCTAGTTAATAGACAATGTTCACATTTTGTTTGATTACAACTTTACTTACTCTTTAGGACTTGATTGTTTATTTCCAAGACACAATCTTGAAGCTCAGCCCCCATGTTAAAGGATCACAGATTCTGGAAAACCCCTCATCTTATTTCTTTTAAATAAATGAAGATGACATC